TCCTCTCTCTTCTTCTCTTCCATCCATCCATCATCTATCCATCTACCCATCTATCTATCCATCCATCTGTCCATCTATCCATCTTCTATCATCCATCATCATCATCATCTCCATCCATCCATCTCCTCTCTCCCTTTCTCCCTTCCATCCATCATCTATCCATCCATCCATCCATCTACTGTATTTATCTTTATCATCCATCATCATCTTCATCCATCCATCCATACCCACTCCCTCCCTCCCTCCCTCCCTTCAATCCATCCATCCATATCCTTTCTCTACCTCCCTCCCTCCCTTCCTTCCATCCATCACCTATCCATCTACCCATCCATCCATCTACTGTATTTATCTTCTATCATCCATCATCATCATCTCCATCCATATCCTCTCTCTCTCTCTCTCCCTCCCTCCCTCCCTCCCATCCATCCTCTTTACCCGCTTCTTCCTTTTTGGGTCGCGGGGGTCACTGGTGCCCATGTCCAGCCATCACTGGGTGAGAGGTGGGGGACACCCTGGACAGGTCTCCAGTCCATCACAGGGACACATAGAGACAAACGAGACAAACAAACATTCACTCTCTCTCTCTCTCACCTAGGGACAATCTAGAGTTACCAGTCAGCCTAACGTGCATGTTTTTGGTCTGTGGGAGGAAACCGGAGTACCCGGAGAAAACCCACGCATGCACGGAGAGAACATGTAAACTCCACGCAGAAACGGCCCCCAGCCGGGATTTGAACCGGGGCAACCTGCTCACTGAGAGGCAGCTGCTCTACCAACTGCACCACCCTGCCCGCTGCCCCTTTTAGTTCACAAACTTTCTAAACTTTTTCAAAATCACCAATCTACACATTTTCTTACCGACCCATTAAAACAATAAAACGTGTCTTCAGCTTTTAAACAGTTATTTTAATGAATATCTCTTAACTGAATGAACAGAATAAAAAAAATGTAAACAGTTTATTTAGTATAAAGAAGAACCTCAACTTGATGATAGGTTAGGCTAAACAGTGACCTGTCTGAATAAAGTCTGATTATGGTTTGTCAAGAAAATCCATCCATTTTTTGTATTCAAATAAAGTAGAGTGGACAACGTAACTGTACTTAAATCATAGTCAGCTGAAGTCAAACTACATCACATTTTTTCCCTCCGCTTGTGGAAACCAGTTTTAAGGGCTGCGCACAAACCCAAAGATTTCATCTGGATAACGTGAATTCAATTTATTTGATACAATTTGTCTGTATCTAATTCAAGTTTAAACAAAAGCCAATTGAATTACAATCGTTCTAATTCAAAACTGGAACAAAAAACATTTCCACATTTTTTTTATTCTTTATTTTTCCCCTTCTAAAAATCTACGGGGAAGCATAAACTTCTTTAAAAGAATTACACAGAGCTGTTATTTAATCAAAATGTCCCGAACGTAAACTACTGTAACGTTTTCTCTCCAGCTCTTCACTTCATCGCTTTGACTCTTTTTCTTTACCAAATAAAACACATCGGAAACCCAACCTCAGATAATCGATTTAAAAATAAATCAACAGAAGAAAATACACGAGGACACTTAAGATCAAACGATCCCAAAAAACAATCATTTGAAAATAAAAAAAGCAACGACCCTTAACGTGGCTCGGTGAAGTGACACTGAAAACACGCAGTGAATCAGCTTCATTTATTGCAAACAGACAGTAAAGGCAAACAACTTTACACTTTGTGAATGGTATTACTGTGTTCTTTCCCTCTGACAATCTGGGAAGCGGAGAACAGATTTAACTGCAACAAAGTCATATGCCTTCTTCGACACATTTTAAGTTGTTCCTGGAGGGTTACCATGAGCCTTTGGAGGAAATGTTGCATCAATCAAGGATGTGGTGTTTTCTCAGAGCTTTGAGCAGCTCAGATGTTTCCACAGGCCCTGCAGGACGCTGTGACTACAAGCCCGTCTCCTCCATGGGAAACAAAACTTGGCTTCTTGGTGAACACAAGCACTACAGTATCTGGGTATATATATATATATATATATATATATATATATATATGTGCAAAAGTAACAGAGTATCTCAGAAACGGAAGGCAAGTAACAAACTCAGAAGCTATTTGCCTATTTTACCAAATACTACAAGGGAATAATTTGAGCTTTTAGTTCAAAAATGCATATTTATGGCTCTTAAATCAGAATCAGAACAAGCTTTATTATCATTGTACCGAAATACAGTGAGATTATGTTCGTACAGTCGTCCAAAAGACGGGTGGAGCGCACGTTGCTGCTGCTCCTGAGAGCGTGGCCCCTTATGCTTTTTCAAATATTACTTTTTAGATAGAAAAGGGGAAAAGGCCATGAGGATAGTGGTATTACAAAAAAGATCTCGTCACATCTCGTCCTTATCAGGACATGATTTAAGACATTAAAAAAACTCTACCAGCAACCACATTTGTAGATACATTGCATACGCATTTGATAACAAGTAGGCCTGTCACGATAACAAATTTTGCTGGGTGACTAATTGTCTCAGAAATTATTGCGATAAACGATAATATTGTTTGAAATTTAACAATAATTAATTGTCAATTTTTAGAAGAAATGTTGATTTGTTTGGCATTTAGTACCTTTTTTGACCACCTGATGGCAGTATAAGACTGTTTGAACCAAAGGTTGGATGGTTGAGGAGGTGGTCCGTTTAAGAGGGGGGGGGGGGGGGGGGTTGCAATAGAAGAGCTTTTCCTTATTTACACATGTCCCAGGTGAAATTAGATGTCGGTCTGCTTGGAGGCCAAACGGGGGAGTCACATTCATATAAGCCAGAATTGTTGATTTTTTCAGGCAGACTGTTTTTTCTTGTCAGTCTTGAGTTCTGCTGGTACTTTCGATCCAAAATGGCCAGATTTGTGGACATTCCGCTGATCGATGCTTATGAGCCCCTCCAAGGTTGTCCCCAACAAGCTGGCGAGTCCCAGAAGCCGAAGGTGGCCTGCAATTCTCACAAATCGCTTCCAACTTATAGTTTAGTTTGTAAATCAGCTGATTTTGAGTACTCAAAGCAAGAACCAATCCTTCACACAGACTCGGCAGTTTTGTCATGGCCGAAACTGCTGCCGCCGTCTTCTTCAGTAGCCGATAACACAAGAATCTGCCAGTGCCAAAAAGCAGAAACCCTGCTATCATGAATCCAATTGTATAAACATCTTTGGCGTCCTCCTGAGACAAAACGGAACAACACATCAGCTCCCAAACTCCCCACGGATCCATGACGTATCCTGCCGCGTGCACCTCAGTGGGACATGAGGGCTCTCCAGGATCCTGTCGTTTTGTTGAAAAGATTTTATCGATTGCGTTGAAAGTCCAGCTGACCAAATCCACAACAGTAGTTTTTGTTTCAGAAGATGTGCAACTAGGAGCTCCGATACACAGACAGCGAGCAAAAAAAGCAGGAGGAGGACGGGAGAGGGAAGAAAATGCGTCCGCCTTGCACGAGAGCGAGTGAGGAAAAAAAGTACTTTGTCTAAGATAAATTACAGTTAAAAATGAACAAAAGTCACTGAGCTGAACACTGAGGTTTTCTCCAGAAGGTTTTTAAGTTAGTGATTTTAATATATTCATAAAAACTAATCTCTAATTCACAAAGTGCATAAAAGCAGGCCCCTTGCTATTAAAATAGCTTTAAATAACCTTTAGCAAATACTTGTGGCATCAGGTCTGCCCAGCACTCTGAACTCAGACCACTAAGTTTCTCCTTCAATTGAAATACTTCAAGAACTGTGACTGCTGCAGATAATTAAAACATCGTAACAACAAGCCGAACTGAATAATTTTACATATTTGGGAGCAGTAAGTTCAAATTCTGGGCAGAGAACAAATTAAGTGATCAAATTCTGGACACAGTAAAAAAAACTGTTAGAGACAAATGTCTTTAGTCTGCAGGGCTTCCAGCTGCTGATCACATGGTGTCTCCACATGCACGGCATGAGTTCCTTATTAGTGTTTCTGTTATTCAACATCTATGCAGCCATATTAAAATAGATTAACACAGTTTGCGCTTTAGGTTGAGAGCTGACAAAACTACAATCTACGATCAAAATGTGGCTTATTTACAAACTTGGATGCATTTTTTATGCTGTAAACATCTTTTTATAAAGCTAACTTTTTATTTGTGTCACACAAACCAGTTGTTTAATCTTCTACCTGACCTTAGCTATCAGAGCTGTTTCCACCGAACTTATGTGACTCACCTGAAGGTTGAAGTTTGGCATCAAAGAGCGGATGAACAGGGACAGTGTGCTCTCATTGGACGCGCCAACATTCTGCCTGTGAATAAACATCGAGACAAAAAAAACAACAACATATTTTACTAAAATGATGTGGAATATTCTTCTGTTAGAAAATAAATTCATATAGGTTCTTCATCACCTCGCAGGTCTGGTGTATGATGTCACTGAGTCAAGTGGCGGCAGGGGGTCAAAGCCCATCATGGGCTGAGCGGTTACCTCCTGAGGAGACCAAATAAATCCATAATATTAGGGTCACTTCCAAATGGAGCACGTTATGAGAAAACTGCAACTTCATAGAGTTTTATGGGCTTACGCATCCTCTGAACAAAAAGGAAAAAGAAAGATAATTTAGTCTAAACATCAAACCCTAACAGTATTTAATAGGTTTAAACAATGTAAAATAAGATATCGGCTCCCTTCATCCTATTTAGCTGCATTTCCCAAATCACTGTGCAGTGACGGCTTTCATAAAAATGTGACATCTTGTGAGAAAAAGCTCGGTGTTAAATTTCACATGATGTCCTGTTCAGTCTCAAGCAAATGGTAAATTGCACACGTGCACTGTGGTTCTCCATCACCCTCACAGGCATGTGCAAAAGGGTTAAAAAGATTAACGCACGTGTGACCCGTGACATTGCTGTGGCAGACTGAGGAAGTTTTTTTTCGTTAGAAAATGGTTTGAGATCAGCTGGGTTCTCAAGTTTCTGCATTTTCATTAATTACCGGTAGACTTCTCAAAAAGTAAATGAGCGAGTAAAACGGTGAGTGAAGAACTGTGCTGTTGGTTTCTTACTAAAGGCAGAGTGGAGGTGGCATCTTTGATTTCAGAAAGGATGACATGGCGATGGATGTTTCTCGGTGCACTTTGGTACCTCTGCTTTCTCCTACAAAAGAAATGAAGTTCTGAGAGACGGTTTTTTTTTATGTAAAGCAACATGAAGTCCAGTTATCTGATGAATAAGTCCTTGTTGTATCTATTTACTGTTTTGTACACAGTAGTCCCACGATACTTGGTGGTTCGACTTTCGCGGACTTGCTCTTTCTCAGTTTTTCAAAGTAAGATTGTACATGACACACTCATTGATGGAGTGAGCCATATGAGCAGCATGGATTGTTTATTTTAAATAAATTATTTTAAACGATTTAGCACCTAGAGAGGTAAACAGCAAATTGTTCTAGTTTAACATTTGCTATTAATTGTGAAAAGGTTCCCACAGATTTTTAAATTTTGACATTCCATACTTGTTTTGACATTCCTCCACGTAAGAATCTTTGACGTCAACTCGACGCAGCACCTCCTTCACAGACTCCTCCAGCCAGAGCATTACCACTGCCTCCCTCCACAGACTGTATGTTCTCCCCACATACAGAGCTGTCAGTTCAGCCAGAGCCGGAGGCTGCCTGGAGAAGGAAGAGGGTCATGAGTTTTAAAGTTACAGTAGGAAGAGAAAAAAAAAGCATTACAAAACTCCAAAAATTTAAACAAATATAAGCTAAAGTAAAACAGTCCAGGATTCACAGTAGAACGGTGTCAACTTGTTCTGATTACACAATGTAGGAAAATAAATTAAAGCGCGCCTAATCGAGTTAACATTTGAGGAGAAATGCTTGACAAACAAAGAATACTAACCCAATCTGACTCTTTGGGCCAAAGAAGTTGTGTGAGGTGACTGTAGCATCTGGCTGCACAGTGCACAAATCCAATAAAGGCATCAAGACTGCAAAAAGCACGTGAAGATAAGCAAAACGGTAACAAACCTTTACTGTAGATTTCTTTAGGTTCTGTTTCTGGGTCTAACAGTTATAACTCCAGAGGGCGAGAACTCGAGAACTGACCTCCAGGGAACATGACAAGAGCGCTCTGGAGCATCTGGTCAGCTTGTTGTTTGTGTTTGTTGGTTTCTTCAGGGCCCAGATCATCCTGCAGACTCAGATGGAAATGGCAAAGTGCACAGGAGAATGCAAAATTTGGCAGCTGAGAAAGATTTCTGTGCTCCTGAAACGTAAGAAGAAATTGTTTCCGTGTCAGATTACCAGGTTAAGAGCGGCACATTAAACGTGAACCCACTATACATTTTACCTCCCAGTCTTGACACAAGTGAAGGAAAGACTTGTACTCCCTGGAGCGCAGCATCAGGAAATCAATGAGGAGGAGCATGCAAAGTGGGTCAGAATCTGGGTCCAAACTGTCGTGAACAAAACCAAAAGTAAAAGAAAAAAAATAAATAACTGTAGCATTTTTTAACAAATTTTCCCAAACAACAGTTTTTTGATATTGTAGTCAAATCAGGGGATAAGGCTCACATCTTAAACTTTGTAACAAACAAACTACGTTGTGTATTGTGGACAAAAATATGGAAAAAGTAGTTTTATATATATATATATATATATATATATATATATATATATATATATATATATTATATGATGAGAAAATAAAAATAAGCATCTGACATTAAAATATGGACAGACCTCATAGAGAACGCTTTGATTAAAACAAAGATGTGGCTTAGCTGGTGAAAATTTTTAAACTAAAATAAGTTGCTGTTGTCTTTGTACCAATTTAAAACTTTGTACAGTTTTGCATTTATCTTTAAAAGCTTGCCTTTCTTATACCTAAAGATCAGTTTGCAGAACTCCAAAGCCGTCCGTGGACAGCCTCTCTTCTCCAGGAACATCATGTGCTTATAAAGAGCCAGATAAAATGCTCTGCAAACAAAGATTATTGAGTTACTGCATTGCTGTGAGCATAAAATACAATATATGTTAAAAACAATAATCTAGGGTGAAACTGATGTTTCACAAAATCTAAGACTGGGAGAGAAGAGACAACCAACCTGTTTTCAGGTCTCAGATAATCCAGTCTGCTGGTACCTGATGTCAGGCTGAATAGAGGATGAAAAGCACACTCGAAGCTGTACAAAGCCCTTTCTGTATGAAAAATAAGATATTTGTTCTTATTAATTTACAAACAGATATACTACAGCTGTTTGGAAAACAAACAACTGTCCATAAAAACTGAAACAGACAAGTTGTTTAATATATAACAATTTTAAGTTGTTAAGTACTGGAAGACAGTTTTTTTTGTTTGTCTTTAATTTAATTTAATTTTTCTACCTAACACAGGAAGCTGTTAGCTCTGGAAGCAAACTGTTAAACAGCTTTGGACACAAAGACCCTTGCCACAACTTCAAAAGAGCATTTAAGATACATAAAATCTTGTAATCTCTGCCTGGTGAGGCTGATTAAATAATTATAAAATATGATAAGTAAAATAAATAAAGAAAAATTGAGCTTCTGTAATTTATATTTGCAAATGTCACATTTTCTTGACTTAATTTCAATTGTAAATCTCTTGTTTTTGATAAAATATTTTTTTCCAAAAGAGAGGCCAACAAATTGTAATTTGTAGTCACTGTAACCGTATTTTGACTCGTGCACTGTCGTCTTTCACTTTTAGGTTACACAAGGCTCTGGACTGGTCAAGCTGTGGAGTAGAGGATGACATTTTTTCGGGAGTACCGCCAGTCACGTGATTCCAGCCGAATTCTGGCAGGACCGGAGTCAACCTCATTATAACTCACGTGACCAGACTGAAAGCTAACGGGAGCAGACAGAAGCGTTAACCGGAAATGAAAATGAAACAAACAAACAAAAAAGAAAAACACGGGCGCAGCTATTTTGTAGTTTTCTTTCAGTAAGCCTTCACTTTAACACAAGTCAAAGGGACTACATTTCCCAGGAGTCAACTGTTCGAGCTGTAGGTTTTCACCAAGAGGGTGGGAGGAGCAGTGAGCGAAGCGGTACCGAGTAACTGAAAATAGTTTGCAACACAGGGTAAGAAGTAACTGTCTGTCTATTAAACTCACAGAACAGGCAGGAAAGTGTCAAATAACCCTGAACTTCACGAGAGTTGTGTTGGTGCTAAGCTGCTTTAAACTTTGGTCTCAGCTGTGAGGAGCTGCTTTGTTTACCGTCAGTAAATAAACTCAAACAGCGCATTTTTCTCCACCATGTCCCTTTTAATTAAAAAATTATGCTCTGCATTGTTATGTGGGTTTTTAGGTTTAAAACTTCACTATCTGTTGCTGTTTGTAATGTAAAAAAACCCCGAACTCTTCCTGGTTAAAGTGCACGCATTCTCCGGTAAAAATATCCCAGTTTATATATGAAAGGCTGGTTGGCTATAAATATGTATATGTATACATATACATTATAATAACTGTTATTGTAGGGGGGACATATTGGTGTGAGGTCTTTGGGTCCTCCCCCATAACTTTTTTAATAAAGTAGCTGCTATTTCCTGCATTCTGGTGTATTTTAACAGGTTTTAAAACATCTATGTTTACCTACATAAGTAAATGCTTTATTCAATAACTGTTTTATAAAACATGGCACAAGAAGTAGCACTAAGTTTTTTGTTTGTCTTTAATTTAATTTAATTTTTCTACCTAACACAGGAAGCTGTTAGCTCTGGAAGCAAACTGTTAAACAGCTTTGGACACAAAGACCGTTGCCACACACTTCAAAAGAGCAGGAAAGATGCATATAATCTTGTAATCTCTGCCTGGTGAGGCTGATTAAATAATTATAAAATATGATAAGTGAAATAAATAAAGAAAAATTGAGCTCCTGTAATTTATAATTGCAAATATCACATTTTCTTGACTTAATTTCAATTGTAAATCTCTTGTTTTTGATAAAATATTTTTTTCCAAAAGAGAGGCCAACAAATTGTAATTTGTAGTCACTGTAACCGTATTTTGACTCGTGCACTGTCGTCTTTCACTTTTAGGGTGCATTCACACCAGCCCTGTTTAGTCCGCTTTAATCGAACTCTAGCTCGTTTTACTAGAAAGTCCGGTTTGTTTAGGGAGGTGTGAATGCACCATCGAACTCTGTCACGGAACAAAAAGGCGAACTCTGGCCCGGGCTAAAACCAAGGTCTCGGTCTGGTAGAAGCGAACTCCAGCGCGGTTCGAGTGCAGTGTGAATGCAAACAGACCGAGCCCCGCTCCGCAGGGTAAACAAACACGCATTTCTCTGACCTCATATGGAGCCGTCAGCTGTCTTGTGTGGAAAAACAATATTCTCCATGGTCTTCTGCCTCATCTTCTGCTCATGCTAAGTCAATTTTTGAACAATGACAAAATATAACTCCTAAAACTGCTAAAGCTTGATGCCACTTCATTTTATTTTTATTTACAGAAGAAGAAGATGTGTCTTCAGAGGTTTTTGTGTCGTTTCTTTCAGTAGTTCTTGGTGCAGCGCCCCCACAGGCGAGCGGGGGAACAGGTTGGTTCAACAGGTTGGTTCAACAGGTTGGCTCGACTGCACAGTGCAGTGTGAATGCAAACGCACCAGCTCAAATGTAAACAAAAGCTCATGAATATTGGTCCCCAACCGAACCGAGTCTACCGGACTATCTAGTGTGAAAACGACCTTAGGTTACACAAGGCTCTGGACTGGTCCAGCTGTGGAGAGATGAGGTGGAACACCAGACCTGCAATGATCCAGTCTGTAAATGATGCTCTGGTAAGATGCACGACATCATGCTTCACCCAAACGAGCTCGTTACCTCGACCACATAGACTGAACTTCTTGAGGACGTCGTCCAATGTATAATAATGCCTTTAAACATTTTTATTTGTTCTCTTGCTTGGTACATTATTTTTCTTTTTTTGTTTGTTTATTTAAACAATTTAAAACGACAGTAATATCACTGTTTAAAGGAAACAATTGCTCAATAAATTAGTACAATGGAACTTGTTATGTTTGGGTTCTTTCATCTAAGGTAGACATGGTGTGACCCAAGTACTGGTTTTGATTTTTTGTTTTTACTGTAACTGACCTTCAAAAGAGCTAGAAACAGGGACTGAGCAGCTGATCCTCCGTAGAAAAATTATAGGGACTACAGGCCATGTATTATTTGTTTTATGATATTTAGTGAAGGTTTTTGTTTGGATTAAGGCAATAAATGTCTCTATTTCACCACAGTTGAACTGTTCCTGTTGCCATATCTTTTGAAATAAAACTGTTCAACACAAAGTAATTTAAACAGGAATGGGTAGAAGATCAAATCAAATTCAATGTACTTCCTAAAAATTAAATGAAAAACAGGAGCAGGACAGCAGTGGGAGTGATTCTGAACAGGAGCAGGAGTCATGTTACCAGGAGTGGGACAGGACAGGATTAATTTTTTTACTCTGGACCAGGATTGGGACAGGACAGGATTTTTTCTGTGGGACCAGAACAGGACAGGAGTGAAAATCCACTCCTGTATCATCCTCTAGTTTAGAGCTCATAATAGCACAGGAACACCTAACTAGTAAAAGTCACTAATGATATTCTCATGGCTTCAGACAATGGACTTGTGTCTGTACTGGTCCTGTTAGACCTCAGTGCTGCATTTGATACAGTTGATCACAATATTTTACTACAGAGGCTTGAATATGATATTGGGATTACAGGAACAGCTCTAAAATGGTTTAAATCATATTTATCTGATAGATTCCAGTTTGTAAATGTAAATAATAAATCTTCTTCATACACCAAAGTTAGTCATGGAGTTCCTCAGGGCTCAGTGCTTGGCCCAATACTCTTTACTTTATATGTGCTTACATTAGGTAAAGTTATTAAACAGCATGGGATACATTTTCATTGTTATGCTGATGACACACAATTATATTTGTCCATTAAACCCAACGAATCCAATCAGCTACTTAGACTACAAGCATCTTTTAAAGACATAAAAACCTGGACGACCCTTAATTTTCTCCTTTTGAACACAGACAAGACTGAGGTTGTGGTTTTTGGACCTGAGCACCTTTGGAATTAATTTTTCAGTCTTTCTCTCTCCTTAGATGGCATTAATCTATCCTCCTGCTTTATTGTTAAAAATCTTGGTGTTATTTTTGATTCTTTTATCCCCCACATTAAAAACGTTAATAGAACTGCCTTCTTCCACCTGCGTAATATTGCTAAAATTAGAAACATCTTATCTAAAAATGATGTAGAAAAACTGGTCCATGCATTTGTTACGTCTAGACTGGACTATTGCAATGGTTTATTATCTGGTTGTCCAAATACGTCTTTAAAACGTCTGCAGTTGATCCAAAATGCTGCTGCCAAAGTTTTAACTGGAGTTAGGAGAGATCATCTCTCCAGTTTTAGCTTCTCTCCATTGCTGGCTCCCTGTCTAGTCCAGAATTGAGTTCAAAATCCTACTTCTAACCTACAAAGCTCTCAACAACCTAACTCCATCTTATATTACAGATCTTATTGTTCCATATTTTCCTAACAGAGCACTTCGCTCTCAGACTGCAGGTTTACTTGTGGTTCCTAGAATTTACAAAAACAGAATGGGAGGCAGAGCTTTCAGTTATCAGGCTCCTTTCTTGTGAAACCAACTTCCAATTTCTGTCCGTGAGGCTGACACATTGTCCAGTTTTAAGACTAGGCTTAAGACTTTCCTTTTTGATAAATCCTATAGTTAGGGTTGGCTTGGGTTTCCTGAGCTGTCCCTTAGTTATGCTGCTATAGGCTTAGACTGCTGGAGGACAAACTGGCCACACTTTTTCACTCTGCTACTGTCTTTACTTACTCTGCTCAACCTGTTTCGTATTTGTAATTATTTTTCTATCCTTAACATGTGTTTTTTTTTGTCTTTCAGATACACCTGGACCTATATCTGGACCTACCATTCTATGTTCGTTTGTCTCTTCTTTCTGTCCTCTTAAACCAGCCGGTCAAAGCAGATGTCCGCTTATACCGAGCCTGGTTCTGCTGGAGGTTTCTTCCTTTTAAAAAAGGAATTTTTCCTTTCCACTGTTGCCACTGTTCTTGTTCAGGATGAGAGACTGCAACAAAGCCAAGATTCAACTTGTCTGCTGGATTTCTTAGATGGAGAACTTTACTAATTGGCTTTTTTA